TTTTACCCATAAATTTTTCTAAATTTATTATTTAAGAAGAAATAATAGCAATCCTTCAAAAATTCTTTCGGAAAATCAAGAAAGGAACATTTCTCAACTCACTTTATGAGGCCAGTGACACTGTGACATTAGAGCCAGAGAAAGTCATCACAAGTAAAAAACAAATAAAAAAACTGCAGACTAATGTATCTCAAAGTATTCAGAAAAGAAAGAGCAAATCCATCACTGACACCCAGATCATTTTCTCTCCAACTTTTGTTTTTGAGGCATCCCCAACTAAGATAATTAGTGATAATCCAATATGACAATTTAAAAAGGGAGGAGGGAAATGGGCAGGGAAAGCCCTTCTGTAAGGGAAACTCCATAATGAACATCATTGGGAATAATTTGAGAAATCTGAAAATGAACTATCTATTAGGGAATGATACTGTTTCATGTTTAATGTCTTGACTCTGATGATGGTATTGTGTTAAGTAGGAAAATATTCTTCTTCTTAAGAGGTAACATGCTGAGATGTTTATGGAGGAAACATCAATAATGTCTGTAACCTGTAACTTTTTTTTCAAGTGGTGAGAAAAAATTGGAGAAAAAATAAAGCAAGTGTGAACACATAGTACATGGTGGGTGACTTTAGGTAAATAGTAAACATGCATTCATTGTTCCTGTCTTTCAACTTCTCTGTTGGGCAACTTTTTAAAAAAATGAAATTGAGTAGAGAAGTCCAAAGCCACAGTGAGATACCACTGCACACACATTACAATGGTTAAAACTTAAAAAAAAAAAAAAAAAAAAAAAAAAAACTGGCAATACGAAGGACTATTGACAATATACATTGCAGGTAGGAATGCAAAATGGTATAGCAACTTTAGCAAACAGTTGGCAGTTTCTTATAAAGTTAAAAAATATACTTATGATATCACCCAAAATTCTCGTTCCTATTTACCAAACAGACATGAAAACTTGTGGTCACATGAAAACCTGTATGTGAACATTTGAACATTTATAGTGGCTTTATTCATAATCACCAAGTTTCAAAACAATCAGATGTCCCTCAACTGAGAAAGAAATGCATAAACACACTGTGCTACATTCATACACTGGAATACTCCTCAGCAATGGAAGGAGACAAACTACCAATACACACAACATGAATCAACATCTAACCTACTCTGCTAGTGAAAGAAGCCAGATGGAAATGCTACGTACTATACAATTCCATTTTTATGGCATTCTGCAACAATCAAAATTATAAAGACAGAAGACAGATGAGTGGTTGGGCAGGGAATGAAATAAGGTTGGCTACAAAGGGGGATGGGAAGATTTTCTAAAATGATGAGACTTTTATACTTTGTAGTGGTGGTTACACAACTGTGCATGCTCAGGACTGTGTGCTAACAGGAGTGAATTTACTGTATATTAACTATATGGTAATACTAAAAATAAATAGATAAAATTGTTAGTTTAAAAAAAATCAGGTCACTTCATCTAAAACCCTCCAATGATGTGTTACTAAGAATAAAAAGCCATCATTACAATAGTTCACAAGGCCTCCCTGTAGCTCTCTGATCTCATCTGCTGCTTCTCTTCCTCTTTCTTTTTTTCCAGCTTCACTAGCCACTTTACATTCCTGAAATCTATCAGACATAGTCCTACCTCAGAACCTGCTGTTTCCCCCAGTTTCTATAAGACTTGATCGCTCTTTTAAATCTTAATTAAATGTCATCTTAGCAATAAGGTCTTCTTCATAACCCCACCTTACCCTGGTACTCCTTTCCTCTGTGGTAACTTTCACTATCAAAAATACTATGTATTCTCCTTATTTAGAGTGTCTGTCTGTCGCAACAAGAGAGGGCAAAGCTTCCTGATGATTTATTCACAGCTATATCACATGTACCTACGATGATGCTCAACATATAATAGTACTCACTCAATCGTTGTTGAATAAATTAGCTGAGATATAATGAAAGAGCTATTACTTAATGCCCTGCCCTCAATATCACTTGCTACTTTATATAACACGCTAAAATCAATCTCACCATAATTTTTAAAGAAATGGATCTTTTATTCTAATTTTACTTTTATGAGAAATAAGGAACTGATGAGAAAAAAAGACATTAGGAATACAGCTTTTAAAATAAGTATCAGCATTTTCTTAGAATTCAGTAAATTACTTACATCTATAAACTGGAACAATAAGGATTTGACTCTTTTCTTCTGTTAAGCTCTTCCTCCTACCTTCTTCCCTCTCAACCACTGATCCCTCAGAGTGTCACTTCACTGTTACTTCCCGCCATCACGCCAGCATTCTTACTGCTTGAAGTCGTACATTCAAAGGCTTCAAAATTGTGAATCATCAAATAAATGTTAAATTGAGTTAATTATAATATCTAGTTATTGAGATTGACATATATTTTGAAAATATTTTCATTGACTACACTGAAACCACAAAAGTATTCCTGTTAAGTAACCAAAAACTCCATTCCTAGTGTTTTCTGATTAATTGAAACTTTACTGACTTAATCTTAGATGTGAGTTTCTTTTTTTTTTTTTTCTTTTTCTTTTTTTATGAGGATTGGAGGACATTGGATAGGATCTAGGCTGGGAGAAATGTTGAACAGAAATGATTAACAATTTTTTAAAAGTATGTTATAGAAATTGGTTTTTGTGAAAACCACCAGACTATAAGAAAACTTTGAAATTACTTTATACTTGGGACAATTTATTTTGAGTTATCAAAGTCTCCACTTTGACAGAAGGAGGATTCAATAAGAAAGAACATTGTGACTACAAAAAGTTGAAAGGCAAGTATAAATGAAAATGAAAATTTAAGTTCCTGCTGCCTCCATTGTGGTTCAATCCTTATAATAGCTTCCTAGTCGCTTTTCCATGCTCAGACTGAACTCTACCAGCCAATTTAAACTGTTTCCAAGTTGATCTTTCTTTCTTTTTTTTTTTTTTGAAACAGAGTCTTGCTCTGTCACGAGGTGCCAGGCTGGAGTACAGTGGTGTGATCTCGGCTCACTGCAACCTCCCCCTCCTGGGTTCAAGCAATTCTTCTGCCTCAGCCTCCCTAGTACCTGGGACTACAGGCACACACCAGCACGCCTAGCTAATTTTTGTATTTTTCAGTAGAGACAGGGTTTCACTATGTTGGCCAGGATGGTCTTGATCTCTTGACCTCATGATCCACCTGCCCTGGCCTCCCAAAGTGCTGGGATTACAGGCGTGAGCCACCGCACCCAGCCCCCATGTCAATCTTTCTATTGCAGAGTTGTGATACTATTTCTCCACACTCAAAAACCTTAAAAGCAAAGCCCCATTTCCTGAAGCACCACCATCTAAACATCTTTCAAAACATGGCCCTTTTATTAGATGGCCTTGATACATATTTTCAGTAATATTTTCCACAAGGCTTCTATGCACACGTAGCACAGAAGTCAAACCGGACTGTTTATTCTTCAGCGACACCCAGTGATTTCTTCCTCTAATCCTTATAAATTAGCTCTCTCTTCCTGAAGTGTCCACTCCTCACACAATCTTTCATCAGCTCCTTCTAAAAGCCCACCCATTCAGTTATCTCATAAAACCTTTCATGCTCCCTTCTAATCCAACATGTATTCTCTCTACTCAAAACTATCGCAGAACTTCACGCCGTCCTAAGGCACCCAACAAGCCCCAGCTTATATCATAGTTGTCTACGTATTTATTTTTTTCCTGACCATGTCACCCCTGCCTAATTTTGTAAGATCTGAGACTGACCTATTTGCCTTAAGTTACTCAGGTAATAGGTTAGAACCTTTTCTACATGGCATGCTCAATCGTTCCTTGATTTATAAAGTGACTAAACTGACACTATGGAATCAGAATTGCTGATCTGCTCAGCAACCAAAACCTAGCTCAGGTGTCCTCTTGAGAATTTTTCCAAAGACCTATTACAGGGATCTATAGGAAGACAATGGTGCCTTGTTTTTATTCTCCTGCAGATCCCATGGATACACACAATGGTGGGAAAAATCCCTTTGAAAAGTATTGGACTGGGAAAAGGGAGATAGCGTGGGCACTCCCACTTAGTTAACCTGAGTTTCATTTGTACCACAATCTGTTTAATGATTTTTAAATAACATCATGCTATAATTTGGAAAAAGGAATACTGACTTACTTATGCTGAGTAGAACAGAAATCATCAAGCAGAAAATACATTTTCCCAGCAAGAAAACTGGGTTCCCCTATAACAAGATTTTTCTGAAGACAGACATTCAACTACTCATCTTCTTTGGTAGCTTTTACATATCACTGTTTCACTAGATCATGGTCTCTGCCATCTGAGTTAGACATGTGTCCCACACAGCAGGCATCCTATACAATTGCTGATATTTAAATTCCTGAAGAGGCAAAAGAGGGGATCCAAATACTCCCAATGGAGGAGGTTAGGTTTTTTTATTCAGAGTTTATGAAGTATCAATGTAAAGGTAGTATTTGAATGTTCTCATAAAGATATATGAATATTTTATTATTCCACTCCCATACTTTCATTGCACTTAAAGAAATTAAGTTGTATAGATTTAGTCAAGTTTATTTTTCAAAAGGAGAAAAATTAGAACTCAGAGCGCTTTATGTAGGATTCACAAAGCTTCAAAGGTCAGTGTTCAGAGGAAATCAGATGACAACTGCATTTTAAAAATTCTTGATTCTGCCCATAATTCCTCAAGGGAAAACCTGTAACTCTATGTGCTACTTCAGAGGTGAATTTTAAAAAAACAGAAACTTTCTTCCTACTCTGTTATTTATTCATATTTTATAAATATTCAGAAGTAATTTGACATCTATGCCTGAATATTTAAAATACATCTTTGTTTTAACATACAATATTGTTTTATGAATCATGCATATAAAATACTGCTATTAGAAAAACTTCTTTATTACATAATGATTACCTGCCTTAAAAGAAAATATATTATAAAATAGTAAGGCCAGTTTTAAATTGTGCATAGAACCAGTAATTGGATCTTTAAGGCAATTAGAAGATTTATTGAATATTTGTTAAAAGTAGATTGACAATGACATTAAAGAATAAAGTGTAATTTATTTGGTGCTACTTTGTGAATGCTTCCAAGTACAAATCATCTCACAATACCATATACAGTATACTTTCAATCACAACTCAAATATAAAATAACCTACAAAATCACATGGCTATAATCAATATACAATAATTGTGTTTTTAAAAGAAGAAAAGATGTTAGGAATTTTAAGTTAAGTTGCAGTAACTTTTTTCAAATAAAATATTAGCACCGTACCAGATAAAATCATCTAAAACTATTGACCTTCTCATTCTTCTTAAATAACTAAATAGAAACTTTTTTCAAAGCACAAATATTAATTTGTAAAATCAGTTCTACAGCAGTTAATATTTCTTTATTATTTCTTTTTTGCATTTTTCCCTATAAGGAAAAATAGGAATTAAAAACTTTCACAGGATATGAAAATCAAACAAATAAAATGACCCAACCAAGTACCGCCCTTCAGCAATGAGTTCCAACAGAAGCAAAGGTGGACATTTCTCGGCGGATGGTGCTGAAGGGCGAGAGTTCGAGTTCCGTGGTGTACTCGTTGTCATTGTCATCACTGGTCACTGTGGAAGACTTCTGAATGCATTCCTCACAGCAACAGCAGCAGCACTCCATGAAGGCCCGACTGAAGGGTTTGCAGAGACAGAAAAGGAGGACTGGGGTGACGCAGGACTTAAAGAACAAAAGGAACTGGCTGATGATATTAAGGAGGTCCATTGTCTGCTGCGAAACCCCTGCAGCCATGTAGGCAGTAACAATGTTGCAGATATTTTCAGGAATAATGCAAAATCCATATAAAATGGTCAGTGCCACTACAGTACAGTTCATCTGGCTCTCTAGCTGAATCTGCCGCTTATTCCCTCGGGTACAGGCTTTCTCTGCTTTGCGGATTTTCCTTGCAGTCACCAGAGAGCAGGTGATGGTGAAAAGCGTGGGCAAACAAAAGTAACAGCCAAAATACCACCAGAGTCTCGCACCGTCGTAGGTGAGGGCTAGAACGTAGATGGTGTCCGGTAAGTCAGGAGAGATCTTAATAATGCACCTTTCTGCCGGAGCTCGGTCGCTAAACCCCAAATCCTCCTTGCTCAGCTGGCGGAGAACAACTTCTGGAAGTGCTAACAGTAGAGCTCCCACCCATATAACAGCAAGTTTGGCAGTTGTTGAAGAACAGTTTTCGATCATTTCATAGTACATCTGCACGTTGGTGGCAGCTCGGAAGCGGTCTATGCACAGAGCACATAAGGTGAAGGTAGTGACTCCCAGGGAAGCGACCTGTGGGGGGACAGAGAAGACACTTATTCCCGGTGTTTCCTGAAAGATCAAAGCACTAGGAAGTACATGCAGATTGGCAAAACAGTAAAATAAATAAATGTATACATAAATAGAAATAAGAGAGAGACAGAACGGTTTTCTAAATGAGACAGGGGTAACTGAGCTCAGGACGTCAGCTGAACCACTGTAAGCATCAAAAAAGAAAACAAACTATAGTGTTTTGGGAGTCATGGAGGGCAGAACATTTAGGACTGGAAGGATCCATAAAGATCAGCTAGTCCAGTCGCTTTGTATTATAGATAAGAATCCAGGGACACTAAAAACTGTATTCACCATGAAAATGTCTGCCACTAGGAGATCTAGACAGGATAGTGCAGAATATCCCATTTTCATTACTGACCAGGATGCTCATGTTTCTCCAGTGTGAGAGGGGTCAGTCATGTGCCTTACACACAGCAAACACTCAAGAGCTTATTTATTGTCCAGAGAAAATTTATTGTCTCCAATGGACTAAATAATCAGAGAACTCCTCCAATTTTTCCTAAATGCAAAATAAAGTATCTTAGTATTATTTTCAAAGGCATACATGTATGGAAAACAAGAAAGGAAAATTCTCCAGAGACCAAAATCCAAAAGAAAACAAATTTCAAACAGGCCAGAGACCCCTCCCTGTTCATGCTACACCTTTGCCCTAGGGGCACCTGCCAATCCTGGTGAGGGTTTCAAGTTAGTTTTAGCTGGAAAAACGGGGCAAGGTGCCCAGGTACACAGAGGCAGGAAGCAGAGCTGGGGTCAATGTCGGTGGGGATTGGGTCAAAGACTGCCGATGAATTTGGAACTCCTCAAATGCTGACATCTTTAGAGGTATAAAGGGAAAAAGGAGAGGGAAATAATGAAGAAATCTGCCTGTATGATAGGATTTGGGTCTGGATAAACTGGGAGGAAAGGAGGGAAAAAATGTCAAATGCTAACTAGGAGGTTGAACTTACATGGTGTTAGGGTGAAAATTTCCAGGATCTATGTGGCTCAGAAAACCCAAAGTGCAATTTTAAATAATCCCAGGCACCTGGCAAAATCAAATGTAAATCCTCTCTGGAAGAATGCACTTCAAAACAAGGCTTCAAAAAATCCTATAGTTAAAATTCAAGGGACATGAGTTGATAAAATCATAAATCAAAACATGCAAGAGATAATTAGCCACTGTGAACTTATATGCCAAAGATAGATAATCAGACATAAAATAAATATTTTTATCATAAAATCGGTATATGTATCAAATTTAAAGAAATAGGAGATACTAAAACAAAGACAAAAACAGAACATGTAAAAATACATGAAAATATGCAGAAAAGAGCCAAAAAGATGTCTCGATATCCCAACCACAGGAAAATTTTGGAGCAGAAAACTCTTTGACAATAAACACATGAAAAACTGTATTCAGACATCTAAAAAAATGAACATTTAAAGGTTAAGAACCAAAAATATATACCTATTTTTTTTCCACACAGAGGCTTTCCAAGAATATAAACACATGTTCCTAATGTAAGCATGCTATCATTCATTTACTTACGAAACACTTATTAAGCATTGCACATGTACTCGAATGGGATAAATAGATACATATCCAACATAAGCACACATTATTCATATCACCTCTATGCCAAGCACTACACTTGGTATCTGGAAAACAGAAAGTTACAAGAAGCAGTCCCTTCCCTGAAGCATATCATAGCCGAAATGAGGGGGATGGTTCTCAAAGTCAAACATAAACACAGCAATCACCCAGCAGCATTAAATCTACTCATGTATTTTGGGAAAAATTTAAGTAATTTAATATTTAATAAATGTAGTCATTATTTGTATATTTAAACAGGAACAATGAGTAGAAGGTAAAATGTTAATAAGGTTTTGGATAAAATATGAGACAAAAAGAAAACTCCCTGGGTGGATGGAATGCTTTGCTCTGCATCCCCAAAAAACTTGAGTATATGGAGTATATGCATTCGCTCTCCCCTGCCTGCTGGTGGTAAGATTTAAGAAGCACAGTTATAGGCCATTCCCTGGCAAAGGGGTAGAGGAAAAAATAAGTATAATTTTTATTATTATTATTTTTTATTGCACTTTAGGTTCTGGAGTACCTGTGCAGATCATGCAGGATTGTTGCATAGGTATATACATGGCAAGGTGGTTTGCTGCCTCCATCCCCCCCATCACCTATATCTGGCATTTCTCCCCATGTTATCCCTCCCCAACCTCCCCAGCACCCACTGTCCCTCCCCTAACTCCCCCTCCAACAGACCCCAGTGTGCGATGCTCCCGTCCCTGTGCCCATGTGTTCTCATTGTTCAACACACACCTATGAGTGAGAACATGTGGTGTTTGGTTTTCTGTTCTTGTGTATAATTTTAATGTCTAATTTTCTAAAAGTCAAAGGGCTGATGTTGACCAAAGGGAAACCATTTGTCATACAATTTTAGTACTCAAAACATTAGTTGTTTATCTACTACATTCAAGCTGTCACTCTCCCCAGAGCTATGGCAACTTGCCTTGTGGATTCTGAGAGTTCCAATGTCAAATATTTCTTCCTTATACGCTACATATCAGACGATGTCTACTTGTTCTAATATGGAAAATAAGGACATTGTATCTATGCCCTGACTACTCTCATAACTAGTAGTGGAGATTGTCTGAAAATGAGGTATAATGAGGTGTTAATGATATAAAACAATTTGACTGGCAAAGCTCTAGATCAGTGCAGATAAAGAGTCATGATTGGGCTTATAACCACAATTCTTGTTCTCCAAATTTTTCAGAATGTCTCCCATAAACATCGGTATGAGAAACATCAACCTAATAAGACTTCAAATAACAAAAAGAAATCTCCACTTTCATCCTTTAATAATTAACTTTCAAATTAATAATTGTTCACATTGATGAAAATTTGTTTTGCATGTATGCTGGAGGCAGAAAATAATTCTAAAATTGAGGTCCACCTTGTACAATTTTGTCTTATGATCATGTTTTTAAATGTCAGCAATTGCCATACTTGGAGACATCTAAGAATGCTGGCCACTTTCTACAAGTCTCTATCAAACAGTATCATGTGGAAATTACAGTACATTAATTTATAGATTTTTGAAACTTGGCATTTGCATATTAATTTTTCAAATTTTTAATTCGTTTTTCTTAAGTCTGAGGGGAAAAAATCCAACTTGTTAAACTATCAGAAACCCTCAGCAAGGCTTTCTGTGTCATCCTCACTAAGGCAAATCTTTGTACGTTTCCCTGTCACTTTATAACTTGAGTAAGTGCACAAGTACAAAGCTGCCAAAGTTTATGCAATGCATTCTTTTGAAATCATGAATAGCATTTCTATTAAAAGGAAAGCTCATAACATAAAAATACTGAAGACTCTGAGGAGAGGCAATCTGTTAGAGGCTCAGAACATCTATTTGCTTGGTGGTTTTCTATCATTACTTGCAAAGAACACTCAATGCACAAAAGATAGCTAGCATCTTCTCTATTAATCTCCCTAGTTTTAAATCTAGAGATTGAAAACCTATAGATCAATTATCACAGATGCTAGTATTTGCATGCCTAACTCCAGGAAGTTGCAAAGTCTTTAATGAAAGGTAACAGCAAATGCATGTGGGTGGACATGTACTAAGATGGGTGTGTTAGATTACCAGCTCCTTAGATATCAGAGGCTGTGCTGCACATCCGCTCTTAATTAGAAGATGTTAACTGCCTAAGAAAGCAAGGCAGTGTTTTTCCAGGTTCTTTACCTTCAATCTCATAAGATAACAAAAGCCAGGACAAATGTTGAGCAAGATTTACATGTGTTCCAACTTACCGTCAGGAATTCTGCACTGTATTATATCTGAAGATGCTCAATTCTTCAGTCCTATTCCAAAAGCTTTAGTACTGAGTCAAAGGCTCAAAAATACATGATCTGTAGTCTTTTTGACAAATCATGAATTAAGTAATTCTTCGCAGTTTTCATATACAAATTTCAAAAAACGCTCCTATATCAAAGCTCCTGTTTCCAAATTGTACTTTTCTCTGATATCACTCTCTACAGTTGGATCCAGCTGCAACAGGGTAAGCAGTCCAGAAAGGTCACAAAAGCAACAGAGAGAGTTGCTGAAGGAGCCAATGAAGAAAGTAGCACTGCTCCAAATGCAGACGGCACTTGAGATGCAGTTGCCAGGAGCAACTGCAGCCCAAATGCCAGTCCTAGACATCTACTGTCTCCTGCTGCCACTGCCTGCAGTGATATTACTTCAGATCCTTTTCTGTAAATTCACTTATGCACTACATTTTATGGTGTGAAACAGCAAGAAATGCACCAAGGCCCTGTCAGTACTTTTCCAAATTATTTACAGGAGGCTTTAAACATGTGTAAAGAATTAACTGCACACCTCAGAAATTAATTGATAAAAATCATCCGAATAATGAGTGGTGGTCTAATTTCTGCTTACCCAGACATGAAATCTACCCATGTAATTAAAATTCCTCGATGTTGGAGCAACATGAAAAGATTTCTATCATAATTTTGAAATATACTTGTTTACATACAGCTTATTAAAAATTCTACCAAGATGAATAGTGCAATTATGTGCAATTATAAAAATGCATCATGAATGCCAGATCTTCTACATTTAATGACCATATCTGATTGCTAAAATTCAATATCACCATGAAATATGCTCTTGGGAGTAAAGCTGTTAAGCATTGGCTTAGATGGGTAGTTCTTTGAAGCAACATCCTGAGACATGGAATGAGTAAGATGCAATCTCTTATTAATTAAACTGCAATGGGAGGAATAATTAACAGCAACAAAAGCAGAACTGTAAATACTTTTCATAGACAAAACTATTAATTTTGAGAATTTCAAGATCAGAGGAAAATTTGAAACAAAATTTTAACTATTGGGGAAAATAAGATATTGAGCATTTTGAGAGGACTGGCATTGGAATACAGAGATGGCAAATGAATCAAAATAAACAACTCTAAGATCTTTCAAACAGCAATGTTCTGCTCTTCTTTGTGTCCCAGAGTAACAACAATAAAGCTCCTTCAGCTCCTGCCCAGTCCACATGTGGAGCAGTGAGGCTCATGAGCAGTGAGCACATGAGGAAAGTGAGGGGTTTAGGGTCACTCTTCTTGATCACCCTAAACTGTTCCCATTTTAGTATCATTATGCCTTT